ACGCAAGCTGCTGCGCTAGGATCTCCTTTCGACGGTGGTCGGGGTGATCAGCCATGTGGCCAGGGTCGCCGGACTGATTCAGAGAGATGCGGTTTGTAGCAGCCTTCGCCGTTGAAGTGTTCCCACACTGGCCATCTCGGCAGGTCATAGGATAGCTGGGGTTGAGCTGAGAAGATGACGTGTCTATGTGGGTCTTGGGCGGCTTGCATGTCTAGGTCATGTGTTACGTGACTTCAGCAGAAAGACCATGTAGATCCTGCAGGATCAAGAACAGTGCCAAGGTGTCGTCATCTCTAAGAGGTCCCTCAAACAAAACTAGCTTGAAAATTATCATATGATGGCTTGAGCGTTTCTTTGCACATTTGCTGCCCACTGCAGTTCTTACCAGCCTTTCAGAGGTTCACTCATGGCTCCAAACTGCTACCTTCTAGCATGCCCCGTCCTTTAAAGATGTGCGGGAGGATGCCAAGCTAGAGTGGCCTTTCATCATAGACCTTAAATCAAAGCGCTGGAAGCTGCCACAGGAACACCATGAGAAGCCGCCACAGCGAGATGTGGGCATTGCATGCCGCAAGACCTTCATGTTGGTTCAGTTGCTTTGTCTTAGCATGCTGGGGATATGTTGGTTATCACGGGTGTTATTTCGTTGTAGTTCTAGCTTATGTTGACTGGTACTGCTGGGGAACTACATGTTGGTAAACTTTGGTAGCTTCATGGCGAGGGCAGATGCCATGTACCAGAGGTTTTGGTTTCACCTTTCTTACGCAGCGCTGGGCTGACTCTGGATGTTGCGAATTGCGAATGACCCAAGCATTCTGCAAGTGCAGAGTTGCTATGTGATGGATTGTATTTGGCCGACCCCAAAGCAGATCCGGCAGCAGACAGAGCACGGCAATTATTTTGAACCAGGCAACCCTTGCGCCATTGTGTGTGACAGTCTGAGCTCCTCCTCTGACCATACTTGCAAGGCATGTTGAGGTGTCCGCCCGTTTGAGAGCTTTGAATTCTGGGGCGGTGGGTTGCGCACTGGAAATCCGCAAGTGTCTGAATAACGATTATTGGTACTAATACAGTGATTTTTGTTAGTATTGTTACTATTCAAGGGGTTTATACCGGATAATGGAAAAGAACCTGGAAACTAATAGACCGTAGCATACCCCCTCCAGAAAGCTGCAGCCTGCTCCCCAGGTATGCTACTTGGCTCTGTTGGCTTTGTCATGCTGCTGTTCTACGTTGTGCTCCTCACCCGAAATACAAGCAACGGTTTTGTGATGAAGTTTTTGAATAAATTTTAGTACCCATCCGATCCGCGCTGTGAGTGCCTGAAAATGGGCAGCTCATTCATCGGAGATCCACTTGATTGGGGCTGTTTGTCTACGGACACCTTAAATCTTAATCCCAACTAGCAACAAGACCGTCAACAAGTTAACCTGCGACAGTATTGGATGGCCCAGGAATTGGAGGGATGACGACATCCGCCTTTATGCGTGGACCATCATCAGCACCACCACTTGCCTTTTCACTGCAGTGCTCTCCTTCTCTGGAATCAAGGCTGTGGGGATGGGAGTGTCAGTAACTGGCTGTACACTGGTGCGCGTCAGATTGTAAATGGGCACTGAAGAGAGGGGTGTCAGTTCTGCTGGTTTTCCACAAGCCCCATTCTGTCCTTGACCGCATGCTTCTGGCCAATTCCTTCCTCACCTAGAAGGTGTGGGAGTGAGTGCGCGGCACACTAATTGACACATGTGTGAAGTGACAGACGGCATCGCAGAGGTTTTGTGTGACCTCTTCCTGCCCATCCCAGAGGAGATGAACGGCGTTGTGACGTGACTCCATCATATGCTCCAGACCCATCCCAACAGCGTAGTTAAGGGTTGTTCAATCATCCCTCCCATGAACCGTGCTTGGCGCAATGGTTTTGGGCCCATCCTGGGCCCCCTGAACATTCCCATCATGTGTGCTGGCACCAGCATAGCAGCAGGAGTTGTCATTCGCAATAGCCGGGAATTCTCACATGCCGGGGTCAGCGTTGCGTCGCCAAATCGACTACCAACGTTTAGCACGCAGGATGGGGCAGTTTTCGCTTCAGTTCTACACTTATTGTTGCAATGACCTTTCCCTTCCACTACAGCAGCACTTACACCGGGAGCAGCCGTCAGTCAAGAAGAACAGTTCAAGATAAGAACCTGGATGCACCAAGACAAAGCAGTCGCTGATTGCATGTGCTGAAGCCTTGCTAGTGCAAAAGCCATATAGGGATAGTGGAAAAGAAAATGGAAACTACCGTAGTGTATTGGGGTATATATTGGGGTCATTTAGGGATAACGGAAAATAGAAACTACTATAATGGGTTCTATAGGGTATATCCCATTCACTGTGTCCTGCCTGTGGGATCCAAGGAGTGCATTCGAGGATATGTGCTGTTTCTCCTGGCGTTCGGTGTACTGCAGTGTGTGCCTGCCTGAGAAATCACACGGGTCTCGGGTGTAGAAGGGAGTTGAAGGCTTCGTGTGGTGGCCTGGCCTCCGTCACAACAGCGATGTTTATATAGGGTTATGCTTGGAATTACTGGGGTTAGAGTGTTTTTTAGATGTGCAATCTTGATGGCTACATTGACATGTTCTCATGTTTTCCTATTGTCCCTTGCAAATCTCATGTGTCAAGGCAAGATCCTCACACCATAGACCTCTGCAAAGAAGCCGTGATTCCAAGAAAGCTCCAACTATGTCATGACAAATATCTTGGCCTTTCCTCCACTTCACATGTCCAACAGCCTCCACTTTTGCTGAGCCCGAGCCATTGGAAAATGCTGTTGGCATCAGAGCAATGATAACAGTATAGTATGCAAAATCGCATTACGGAGACAGATTCACGGTCTTCTATTGTATCAGCAGCCACACAACGCCATTACCTACTATTGGTGTGTCCCCAGCTCAGTAGATTGGGCAAAGTCAAAGTGAAGGGGATATACCCTATATAACCCATTATAGTAGTTTCCACTTTCCACTATCCCCAGTTAGCCCAATATTATGACTCCAATATATACCCCAATATACTACATTAGTTTCCATTTTCTTTTCCATTATCCCTATATATGTACTCCCGTGAGGCTGGAGGCCAGACATGAGAGTCCTGCAGAGGTTTCTAAAAATCTCTAAGCAGGCCATCTATGCATCAAGTCTGTATTTATGTTGCAATGCTCATGGCGGAGACCCAGGGCCCAGGCGAATATCAGCCGAGCTAGGAAAGTTTGCACTCCTTTGCAGGATTTGCGTTTGTGACCAGCGCCTGAACTTGCACAGCCTACGCCCTGAATGTAGCATAGGGGCTGCAGCACTTTGCTAACGTTGCGCTGCAAGACACATGTGTTGCCATACAGTTCCTACCACAATCACTGCTTTGGGTACACTAGACTATAATATACACTAATGTACTATAACATACTATAATATATTTTACCATAGACTATAATATACTAATTTTCTTCATCCTGATCAATTACTACTCTCAAGTTCATGTGAGCCAGGCATCGAAGCTCATCTCGGGAGCATACTGCAGCTTTGAAGCCTCAGAGTATATATTCAGGATTATATATATATACACATACATTGGGGTTAGTATAGGGATGATGGAAAAGAACATGCAAACTACTGTAGTATATGGGAGTTCATATTGGGGCTTATAATATTAGGGTTACATGGGGATAATGGAAAAGAAAATGGAAACTACTAACTATTATGTTGAAGCCGGCTCACTCCGGATGCCATACTCTTCCTTACATGGCACAGGATAAACGGGTCAGAATGTCCATTCTTCGAATGTTGCGAACCAAATTGACTAGGGATAATTGCAAGCAAGGAGTTGTTCTGGGTTGTACACCACATCATAGCCCTTCAGTGAACGCGTATGATCAAGCTACCGTACGCGATTGTGGGAGAGCTGGTGTAGGAAGGGCGCTTGTCACTAACCTCTAGGTATGCAGGCAGCGGCCTACGCCTTGATCCGGAACCATTGCAGAGCCGCAATTACTTCAGGGCAACTTATCCTGACCTTACCCCAAATCGTGGTTTCTATGGGAACGATCTCAACACCCAACCAAGTTTGTATCGAACCTGAGACCGCATAGCGCTACCCAAGGAACTGTAACTTATGCATTGGGTAGGTGCACAGCTTCCCAATCAGGTTTTTGCACCACCCCCTAAGGCCTTGCGACGGCCCGAAGCTTTCTACTCAACTGGACGAGATTGATGCTAGATATGGTCATGTCTTCTTTTCGGTTTTGTATGCAGGTATGTATTTGTGTGCCAAAATGGGGTCTTCATGGGCCACCAAACATGAGATCATGGAGCCCAAGCAAGGTACCAGAACTTTGGGAGGCCCATATCTCTTTGGCTCATGTCGTTTTATTTAGACTACACGATGCAAGTGTGATCCATGCTGCTGTTAGGTGATTGCTGCTGTCCGGTTGAGCTGGCTGAGGACAGCTACAGGGTTTCAATCAGCGGCATGCTGAGCGCACTTTGAAGGTATTGGGTGTAGAAATGTCTGAGCCTCCTATCCACGGCCGCGAATGCAGCCATGTAACCATGCAGCTGTGAGGCATAAAGGCCGTGTCACAGATGTCTCGAGTGCGATTAGAAGATGACAAGGCTTCAGGGGCGTATGACACGCCTCAAGTAGGAGGTCCCTCTCTTTCTTGTTAGACGGAGCCAGTTTTTTGCATGAAGCAATCCTGCTAAAAAAACACGTAACCTTGCAGCGATAACGGTGTTGGGGATGGTAGGTTGCAAGTTCTTGCTTTGGTATACCCGAGATTTAGGCAGCATGCGTACCCACAATTTCTACTGCTAAGCGGTGTGTGGTCCCCGAACCTCCAACTAGTGACGCACAAGCTTGGGTTACCCCTGTTGCCCATCTAACCGCATCCTGGGACCTGCAGACCAATCTATTTGCTGAAGCCTCAGGCCCCACCTCACATTCGACGCAAAAGCTGCTGGCAGGAGGCCTGGGTGGTTGCAGACAGCCTCCGGGCGGACCACGGCGACGAAGTTGAGGAGAAGAAGGCGAGTGAACATATTTGTTGAGGAGCAGACCTGGGGGATCTTGCCTTGCTGTTCTGGCCAGCTGTCAAGCCGTAAGTTGGCCAGCGGCCGCCGGCTACGTAGTCTGCAGAATTGCGGCGCAGTCATCAGGCACATTACAAGCCATTTTTGAGCTGACATCGGAAAGGCGCGGGATATGTCAGATAGCTTAGCAGGCAGGCATGCGACAGTTGCCAAGTACATGCCAGGTAACTATTGTGTGCTGTCTGCAGACGCTTGAGCACACTGGTAGGTGCGCACGAAGACGGGAATGAGGACTCTGCCACAGATCATGCGAGCACGTGCCTATCTTCAATGCGGGCGCATCACAGATCTTCAGTTTTTGTGAGTGTAGACGGGTTCCGCAAACAACTAGCCGTCGGAACCATGTCCAGAAAGCCGCCAATGCCTGACCTATCCTGCCGGAAGCTGGACCTTGCCTCCTTCCATATGCCTAACCTTCAGTGCGAGGAGCGTAGCCTGGATCGAAGGCGTTGAAGTCTTCGTAGAGAAGAGGCGGGCTTCAGACTCCTGTCAAGAAAAGGGCTGTGTTTTCTTTGCAGTTTATGCTGCCTCCGCAGTCTAATCCAAGCGGTCTTGACACTGCTTGGAGGAAGATCACTGAGAGGTCCTTACAAGCTTCAAAGCGAAGATGTCCAAAACTAAGATCACACAGCCTCTCCCTGCCCGGGCGCCGCGCGCCTACTCTGCACGCACTCCGTGTAGAAGAAATCCTCACTAGGCGCTTGAACTACGAGCGCAACTTGATGAACGTGAAGGCCTGGGCGCAGCTCTTGGCCCACCTGACACAAGCCTGCACTAGAGCAGTCTCTATGGTTGTCTAGTCGAGAATCAGAAAAAACGTTCTTGTTGTGAGTACCGTGAATACTACAGTGGCGCACCTTCCTCAGGCTCATCTGTGGGGCACAGAAAGGAAAGAAGGGGATAGAGAGGGGACAAGACCTGCTGAGGAAAGCGAAGCCCTCCACCAGTCACCAAAAGCCTCCACTAGGGTAGCACTCCTCTAAGGCCCCAACAGAAACTTATTAGGCATTGTGACACAGTACCATATTAGGCCGTGTAACATACTGGCGATACATCACACTCCACAAAAACCACCAACTAACACTCCGCAAGGTCCTTACGCTGTTGCTTGCAATCCACTAAGGAGTGATGTGCCAAGTAGACATCTGACGTCTCACCAACCTTAACCAACACCACTTTGCCTTCTGTGCTTGTTGCTATACCCCCAATACAGGCTCTAACGGTACTAAACACGATGGCAAGTGCACACGCCGTGGTAAACTCACCATGGGCAACCAATTCCAGGCAGTCACCCCACCTCAACGAATGTAGTCTTATGTTCCCAAACTGTGACTGTGTGGAATATAGAGGGGAGTAGTTCTAAGAAGCCCAACGGGCCGGGCAGGAGCCCGTGGTGGCTCTTTCAGGGCCATCCCAGAGCCCGAATGAAAGAAAGGAAAGAAAGAGAAAAGATGTTGTGTGTTTTTACCATAAGAACCAATGGGACATTGCCATGCTGATTTGCCGCGTAGCAACCAAGCCAAGCGGCCTTTTCTGGTGTTTCAATTCGCATACTACAGAGAACTACTTAAATCTGTTGGGAACCCTTTACCTTTTGTTTTTGTTCGTGTACAAGTTCTAAAGACTTGCGGGACTCTCACATCAGGAAAATCAAAGCAAGTGTTGCGCGAAGCTCCGGAACCCTGACGTTTGGGGCGGCCAATGACCAACGGGGAAACCCGTTAGACCTTTCATGCAAAGCAAAGCAAGAAAGAAAGAGCGAGGGAGGGAGAGGGATAAGTTTGGCATTTGAATTTGGGGGCAGCCAAACAAGATTTCTTCACAAAGAGCTGGCCCCAAGGAGCGGTTTCGCGGCTCTGGAGGCCGGTGGTGCATTGCAGCACACCGAGTGGCTTCTTGATTATGACTGGTACTTTGTGTATCGGAACCTCATGTAGCCCAAGACCCATACTTAAGCCCTAGACCTTTTGCCGTTGCGCAAGCTTTATCGACTGGAATCCCGCATCAGATGCACGATGTTTTTCTCGTGAGGCCCTGACTTGCACTCAGGTTTCGGGAGACGCCGCCCCTTGGCCTCATGGCATGGCTTCCTGTGCCTGATCTGCTGTCAGAATGTTACTTTAAACGCCTGCTACTAGTGCACTGAGAATGTTACTACTACGCGTTATCGCTTATCATCATCAACGCTACTTCACTCATTTTCCAAAGTGGAGAGCCACAGTTTGCGGGCAAGATGGCTGGCTGTCGGCACACAAGCTCGAAGACTTGCAGCTGGCGGCGGATTTGTCGTAGGGGTCATAGAACAAAATTTGTGAGTGGCGTCGGCCGAGGCCAGGATCTCCCCAAATTAGTTACTCTCAACCACAGCAGATTTTTCTATCAGTAGGATTTATGCAGATCTCAATCACGTTCTGTTTTTTTGTGTATTTACGGGGGGGTGGGGGGGGGGCTCCTGGTAGGGCCTCGACTTTGAGCTTATGGGGCAGCCCACCTATAGCTCTGGCGAAAGAGAGCTCTTCAGGTTCCGAGCATTCTTGGCTGTGGTCATCAACCAGGTGGCCCTCTTTTGCATTCTGGCATTCTGGTTTGCGGGTCACGGCAAGGATAATGGAAGGCTTTCCGGTGAAAAGTAGCGTGGATGCTTGAAAGATCTCGTAGTGCGGAGGATCCGAGATTGTACCAGATTGTGTGATGAATCCTTCCCGGTGATAACTTCCAAAAGAGCTGGCAAATGTAAGGAACCAAAGCCATGGTGTGAGGAGTTGTGGGTGGCTTACCGGTCGGGCTGAAACTGCGCTGCGTTGTTAAATAATTTGCAGTATTTCTCGGCAAGGTCTGGGCCCAAGACATACCCACACGTGGTAGCAAGTGCATGGAGGTCAGCATCGGGGCCCTCTTCCGCGGTATGGACATGTTCCGGTCAGCAGCTTAGACTGCTTCAGGTTGCCACTACCAGCATGGGGCCTGGCTGTGTTTGAAGTCATGTCGAGGCTGGCTACAATTTATGAGCCGGAGGATGAACGAGTGGCCCCATCCTTACTGAGGGAGCTAAACGACGTGCGCAAAGCATGCGTCCGTCGCATCGATTCCAATTTCATGAGGATCCACTTCTCGGTTTCCGAAATGACCCCTGTAGATTTGAGGATAAGAGCTTCGCTTGCGCCCCCGCAACTCCTTGCGCAAAAGCTGTTGCAAAGGCACCAGCGTGTTAGAAACTACAGCTTAGTCAGCATTGCCATCTAATTTACAAGAGGGGCTAGGCTCCTGTTAGTCCTGCAAGTAGCCCAGGTGATGCTGAATGAGTCCATCGAAGAGGTGCACAGCTGCTGGTGAAATCTTGCCCGGAGGGTTAAGCGGTATAAGCAGAGGAGCCGCTTCAACAAGCGGCCATTAAGATGGGGGTATTTGTCATTTATGCCTTTCGACCCTGTCTCATCAAGCTCCATAGCAGAGCATAAGCCTCTAACGCCTTCAGCCTCAAGGCGGAGAATGACATCATCGGCCTCTCCAGCTCGTTCCTGACAGTGCAGGTCCTGAGATTTGCTCTGTCAGGCCTGACCAGCGGCATATGAGGAACGACTGCTTTACCCATTCCGGTTGCTACATGGAACCCCGCGTAGCCCCTTTGAGGTTTTTGAGAGGACAGTGATTAGTGGGTCGAAGTCTCCTTCGAGCTTCCATGATGCTCTTGGGAGAGTACTTGCAGCCGATCAGCATGGTGAAGCTAAGTTACATTGCCGATTGCAAGCAGGTCTGAGTGATATTGAACTAACGTGTCCTTTTTTTTACGCATCCTGCCAGTGCTTGCGTAGAGTGGGTGGTTGCATCATCCCGGAACCAGCCCGACAATAGTTCCTTGTTTCCATAGCTTCTCGGAACAAGTTAGGTACAAGTAGGTCATCTGCTGCACATATGCAGGCAAGCTGCCGGATGTTGCGGCTCTGCTGATCTTGAGCCGGAGCAATTACATGATAGATGGTTACTTGGAGTTGTTCTGTACGAGTAGGAAGGTATGACCCCACAGCATTCAACTGGACCAACCTTACATCCAATCATCCCTGGAAAGGGCTCCCTTTTAGAGAGATGACATGTGGCCACATGGCCAGTGCGCTTTGGGTTCCAAGGCTGTGGTTCAGGGGGTTCTGTGCCAGAACCCTTCACGATTCAAACCCTCCTTCCAGCATGTATCTTTCTGCTAAGATGGTGCCCTGCTTAGGGACCCATGGGAGTAATAAGGTGTAACGAGCCTGCTCTCGTGAACAGGGTCTGGTTCATAGCATGCTAAGGCATTTCGACAGTTGTGTTCCTCGGGCCTGTGTCAGGGGGGATGCTGGTGGCTTTGATTGGGTCTGCCTTCAAAGACGACATGTGGTTTCCGTAGCAAGAGGAAGAGGCCAACACTTTGTCGGGAGGCTCCTTGAAACTGAAACAACCCCTTATAGTGGTTTCCCTTTCTTTTCCATTATCCCTATGTTCGATAGTAGCTTCCATTTTCTTTCTCAGTATCCTTATATAACATTTTCTTACCGTAGTACCTTCCAGTTTCTTTCCCATGATCCCTATATAACCCTATATATATACTATAGTAGTTGCCATTTTCTGTTCCAGTATCCCTATATAACCCCTATAGTACCCCTACGTAACGCCTGTATAACACCTATCACCCCCATGGTCTCCATTTTTTTCCATTATCCCTACATCTACACAAGGCTGGGCAGATCAAGCCCTACCATAGCTCCGGCATGCTGGCAATTGGATGGCGCGTCTGGCAAAACCAAAATATTGCAAGTTGGTTTAGGGTTTAGGGTTTAGCTTCGGGTGCAGGAGGACTTAGTAGAGATGAGCAGGGGTTCTGGTGCATGGTTGGGCTTATATCAGGCTCTACTTGGTCTTAGGCCTATCCCGCTACGGCTCGCCGTGTGGGGCTGCGACGTAGATAGGGGTGCCGAAGACAAGCCTGATCTTTCAGGCACGCTGTTCCTTTCTATTCACGCCGCTGGCAGAAGCTCGATAAGATAAAAATGTCACGGTGGAATTTCCAACGCATAGGCATGGCACCTGTGACTTGTACTTTGAATAAGCTTTTTGAAGGTTTCATTTTTTTCAGTGTTATGGTTCTGTAATGATGCTGCCACTGCATGTGCTCCATGTGTCATTCTGCTACGGCATCTAAAACAAAACCATTTAGCGATTCAGGTGGAGCCCTCCGACATCCCTAGGGCCCCCACTGTATCCCCAATTTGAGAACCCCGATGTAGGCTTCTGGTCTGCGGCGTCGTGGCGCTGATCGTGTCACTTTCGCGCCTTGGATTTATGAGAACACTGATGCTAGGAAGGGAAAAGCTCAAGCTTTCAACCAGGTAATGTCCCTCATAGCAGTTTCCATCATGCCATTGGTCAGAAGTCATGTTGACGGCGGACCCTTGATTGGATGTGACGCTTGGGCCTCTTCGTGTCGTCAGTCATCCTGCTTCAGCTGGATCCTAGAGCAACGTTTGACCAAGGCGGGTCCGGGGGCCAGGAATCGCAAGGTCAAAGAAGCACACGGGAGTTTCAGCATGACAGCTGCAGGCCCGAGGTGCCCTCATCGCGTACCGTACTCGTAGGAGCCTGTGCACTACTAAGCATTATACAGAAGATCCACACATGCTCTGAAGTCAGTACTTTTGCTTAAGTGGGAACGGGAACGAGCTGGACTGCCCTTAGCATGCCCTATGCAATGCAACTTGCTAGCTGCGCCCGTGTTAGGGGCTCCCTGAACGAGTCTTGTGTCGCGACGGGCTCCCCGCAACAGAACGATGCCCTGCTCGTGGGTGGGCTGGGGAGGGCGCGGAGGGTGACAAAACATTTGCTGGCAGGGACAGGGGAGGGGCTGCCTGCTTAATATTATGAGTAGTTTCCATTTCATTTTCCTTGTAATTTTCCATGTCATTCTCCATTATCCCTATATAACCCGTGTAGTACCCTGTGTTCTCGCTATTTAAACCCTTAACCCTATAGTAGTTTCCATTTTCCCTTCCATTTTCCCTTCCGTTATCCCCTATATAACCCCTATAGTACCCTATATTACAATCCCCGGGCAGCCGCTAGGCTGACGTGCTTCCCGTGCTCCAATCGCATAGTCAACTGGTTGTGCCTCGGCTGCCTGCTGACATGACTTACACGTCTGCATTCTCCTGCTCAAGATATTTGCATATATTTGCATAAGCCTCAGCAATTAAGAAGCGCCTTATTTCACTCTGAGCTCCTGAGTTTAGTTCGGTGCAAATCAATGAGGAGGCAGTGGAGCTCATTATAGACACCTGCTACACGTAGTGCAGGGCAGCGCAGGTTATCTACTCGTCCGAGTGTCACACAGTTCAGTTTCACCTTGTAACGTGCTCCTTAATCGTCTCTTTGAAATGTCTTCCCATCATCTGCGAATGTTGTGGCGTTGGACCGCTGACGGCTCCAAAGGCCCCGTTAGCTCTCCGTGCATCAGTGGTGACACTTGCTGTTGTTTGTCCAAGTTACTCGCACTAGCATTATGACTGACTACCGACATGGCCCAACACACGAACCTCGTTCATGATGTAGTTGAGCGCATCCCTGGAAACCCTATGCCTCGTTACCCAAGCTTTCCTGGCACAAGGACTCAGAAGCTGCAGAACATCCTTGGGATGATATTCGCATGGTGTACACTGTGGGGCTTGCACATGTTCGTCCGGGAGACCGACTTCTTCCACTCAGTCCTAGGCCTGGGGGGTTGGGGCTCTTTTACTTTGCCTCTCGGATACTGGCTTGCATCGCCCTACCCGCGAGGTACCTAGGGCGCAGCTGCCACAGGCAGTAGCAGGAACTCGAACACCGCTGGCCGGGTGTAGGGCAGCGCTGTGGGGCAGGTGCTGCCAGAGAGTCGCAGTGCGACAGGGCTCCCAGATTTGGGTATGGAGAATTCTCACTGAAGCACTCCGGTTTGGAAGGCGGCACCATCTGCAGCACCCTTTTGGCCAACGTGCTTGCGTCAGGCACATGACAGCAAGACAACGCGCCAACGTGCTTGCTGGGGGGTTTGCTCTGGCTCCGACGGCATAAGCTGGGGGACTCACAAGCGAGAAAAGGGGAGGCCAAAAGTTTGCCTGAAGAGCATTGCCTGCCAGCATCGTTTGCCTTCAGCTCTTTCGGGGATTCCCTACTGCCCTACTAAAGCAGTGGCAACATGTTCTCGTTGATGATTTGCCGTGCCCAGGTACGGATGGAGTCGTTCACAATAAGATATGGCCAAGATGAAGAGCGTAGTCTTCAGCAAGCTGTTCACTGGCCACATCTGCTAGCCGGATTCTAGCCCATGCCGTTGCAGCTCAAGCGTGTTTTGCGTCCCCCTACCCTCGAGGTTCCTAGAGCGCAGCTGCCCCAGGCAGTAGCAGGAAATAGCAGGAACTCGAACACCGCTGGCCGGGTGTCGGGCAACGTTGTGGGGCAGGTGCTGCCAGACAGTCGCAGTGCGACAGGGCTCCCAGATTTCGGTATGGAGAAGTGCAGCATACAGTTGCGTTACGGCATGTTACGGCGTTACGACTTTGAGTCCTCGAAGCCGTAGTTCTCACTGAAGCACTCCGGTTTAAAGTGCGGCGCGGAAACGTTTGGCCAGCATGCCGGCGTCAGGCACATGACAGCAAGACAATGCCATAACATGGGTGGCTGGATCCGTCGGCATAAGCTGGGGGGACTCACAAGCGAGAAAGGGTCAGGGCATCGACTGCAGTTGGAATTGCTCTGAAGACCTTTCCACCCCGGAAACGTGCAGAGTTGTCTTGTGCAAGCTTGCAATGCCTTGCCTCGTGGCATATCGTGGAAGTGACGAGGCGTGCTTCCTATTCTTTGATGTCTTCGCCACTCTTAGCATTTCACGCTGTGGCATGCGCTGCGCAGCCTCGGTCCAAAAAACAAACCTACTGCACTCATAGCTGCTTTAAGGCAAACTCTCATACTAGATCGCATGTGAACTATTGAGTAGACCAATGGTTAAGAGTAATTATTGCGCAGGCATGATTTTACAAGGCTAGCCGATGTCCGCTGGACACAGGTACTACCCGTTGTTCCTTAAGATTTCCCGTAAGCTCAACCTGTCCATAATCTTCAAGAATCTTCACAACAACTCATACCTGTGCACACGCTCACATAGGGCGATGTCGTTTTGCGCTGGTATATGCAGGCATCGTGATTTGAGACAAAACCGTTTGAAATAAAACACCCGCGAAGCCTTGCGTAATTCCCATTAACTCCGTATACCCCACAGCAGCCCTGCCAATGTCTGGAAATCCAAGCAAGCCAGGCCTCAAACCTAACAAGGCCCATTCAAATTCTAAACCTTAAGCCCTAAACCCATAAATTACACCCTCATAACCGAGACCTGGAGGTACAACCCTATATCCGAACGAGCGGCATCTGGTAGCGGCCCTCACGCTCTCAATTTGTTTCTTCGCTGGCCAAAGGAATATAGAATGGGGCTTCTAATCATGTGGGCCCTTTTCAGGAATCATCTTGATAAGGACAACAAGTCCTTCTTGGAGCCTCTAGGCCGTCCAGAATCTTTGGAAAAATGACACATCTGTTGAAAACAACAGTATCTTCCGAACTGTCGCGTATAACAGGATGACACCGGACGCAGATTCACTAGGGTTTCAGAGTGCCTTCCTTATAAGTAGGCTGGCTAGTTGAAGAATTTGGATTCTTAGCTCGAAGCAGATGGGTCGGCATCAAACCCGCACATTACAACTTTTGTTCTTGCGACTGCTTCAGCGGATAGTGTTTTGGATCAGAATCGCTCACCCCTAACAATCTTACATACCCCGGGGCCCGAAAAAATTTAGAATACTAGAGAGGATTACTATGTATTGAAGGATTTTGACATTTATAGCTAGGAGAACTATTTTTTGGGGGTTCTGTGGTACCCTGGTCCTCTGGCCCGGCGGTCCTCTGGCCCGGACCCTTGAGATTTCGAGCTTGTGCAAGGCTACGAAGACTGCAAATTGCAGACTGCGACCATTTGGAGAATTTGACAGGCTGCATGCAAGAAAAACGATAGCTTTAGAAGCTCTTGAAGGCTGTGAAGAATGCAACTTACAGCATTTGCAGTTCTTGAAAGGCTTCGAATATTGAAAATTACCAAATTTGCAGCCACTGGAGAGCTACATATGTAGCGAATTGCCGCACTCGGAGTGCTTGACAGGACGCAAATTTTGTAGATTAGAGCACTTGTGGCCTTGGAAAGGCTACACGAATACGTGAAATTACAGGACTAGGGACTCTGGTAAGGTTGCAAACACGTAAATGAAAGCCCATGGAGTAGTTGAAAAGGTGCAAGCACATGACAGCATTTGAACATTTTGACAGTATGCAGAAAATGTAAATTCCCACATTGTAATGCAGGCAAAGTGCTGAGAAATGCCCTCGACACACGTTCTCATCCTCGGCCATGTGACGAAGAGATCTGAACCGCCGCCAATTCCACCCGCATTTGTATCCAATGCAATCTCCAGGGTCCACGATTAATTACAATCACAAAGCCACCAATCCTTCTCGGCCTAGCTTGCAGGCCATATTGCCAAACATAGGCAACATTTGGACTTGTTTTGGTTGAGGTTCTCTGGCAGCCATCCGCGTGCTAGACATCTTGGAGGACAACGGGGCGTCGCTTCTTGGCATAATCAGTCCCTCACGTCTGCACAGACCTTAGCAGCTGCTGGAGGCGGTTTTTGGCTAGCATTCGTCTGTGCATAGCACGTAGAAGACAAGGGTACAGTGCGCACCTTTTTCATAGAAAGGGGTCTTGTCAGCTGCGGTTAGGGCACTGACGCGCGGTGTTTGCACTCTCGCTTTATGCTGGTGCGTCATGCTGGGCCTCCTACGCCCGGTCCTGCCCACTTTCCTGGCGGAGACTCTACGATTCGCTCACGTAAAGTTAATGTCCCGTTACAACTTAGGGACCCGCGGCTCTTGCAGAACATGATCAACGTCTTCGGCGTGCTGATTGGATCCAGCTCTGAATGATTGGTCTGGTCGTCTAGGGCCTGGGATGGGCATTCGGTCTGACAGGGGCAGGGTTAGTTAAGGTTACCACGTAGGCTGATTGCAGTGGACTGGGGCTTCGCCTCGTTAAGCTGAACCCGTTTTGTGTTCAGTGTTGAATGTTGACATGGATGGGAAACATTGGTGTTAGGCATTAGTATTCACTGACACTAAGCGCCGTCTTCCCTCTGAGTCCTTTGGAACGGCCATTGCTAACTGCTCAAGAATAGTGCCATCATCAGTTCAGGAATTCCTCAAAGCATAGCTCAAATTTGGATGTAGGTATGCAATGCATGTACACTGCAGCCCCTACGATCCGTGTAAATCCATCAAGGTATAACTCGACTTTTCTCATGTCGAAGCATGTGACGTGACAAAGAGAGGCTCCGGGCATGGTATGCAAGCATTGAGCCAGCCAGATGACGTTTGGTTTGGGCTTTAGGGTTTTGGGCAACAGTAGCCGGGCGTGGACCTCAGCAAGGCTGCGGGTTTTGGGAACAGGGGGCCCAATTAGCTAGATTGGGTTCAGGAACCAAGCTGAAACTCAAGGCAAACTGGAATCAGATGATCCAAAAAAGGTACTTAGAGGCTCACGGGTAGCTGGGGTTCTTCTGATTATGCTTCCATTTGTAAACTCACAACCTGCTTATCATTACCAAGCACAGGTACCCATATTCGATATTCGTGAATATACATTAGGAGGACCTAAGCCTGGCCGGAGAAATGAGAAACTCTCAAGCATCTGAGAGTTTCTCAAACTTGCGAGTCCCTTCTGAGGACACCAGTCTTCTGAAATACCCATTTGCTCAGTGTTTGCGCGTGTGCGTGCATAGCGAAGCCATTGGCTTCATATCCGATGGGCTCATTTGGGCCAGAGCGCCGCACTATTCTCCGTCTCAATCATCCCAATCCGTCATGTTCAAACCATCAGGACTGTCCTGGGAGATGTGCTTTGAGGGTGGCGTGGAAGAACTTTCCGAGGAGCCTTTGCGTGACAACAATCTCATTCAGGGTGCAGACATCTCTCCCTGGTGCAGACATCTCTCTCTGCTTCAGCTTCCGTGAATTAGACTAGGCCGTGGAGATCCTCACAGGTATAGCTGTGAAAAGAAGATGCTATGACAGAGCATCATATGCCCCTTTCTTGGAAAACTTGAAACTCGGGTAACCCTGGGCTCGCAATGGGCGTGTAGAAGCCCTACGGCCCCACATCTCATGAGAGAGGCTTACATGCATTGAGAGGCCAAGCAGCAAGGAAACAAGAGGGGGTAACAGTTCACAGCTTCTTTGCCAGGAGACAATCCACCCTGAGGCAATGAAGTTAATCTTTACGGCCTGCATCCTGGCTGAACAAGCAAAAATTATGGATAGGTTTCCTGCCGGGGCAAACATTCGTCCTGAGACATAGCGCATTTCTCGGGATGAGTTCCTGCACAGATCCTCGTTAGGGTTCCCGTGCGTCTACCTGAGGGTGTGGATTGAAGATCGGAACGCCCGAACGAGCACCGTGATGTTGAGGTAAACTGACCATGGATACTGACCGTCGGAGTGGTGTCTTCTTTTTTTGCTTTGCTTGCAAGACTGCAAAAGCTACGGGGTCAGAATGCTCAGCATAGATAGCGCGCGTAGAGAGGATACGCACAGAAATCCTCATGGCTTGAACACAAATTGCTTTTTTACGGACCAAATTGATGGCAATTTGGACGTAGAATCCTGACGCCACGGAGAAACAGAAAAGGCCGTGAAGCTACTGCTCCTC